AATTTGTTTCACAAGGAAATATCAGTATACTGTGCCTCTATATCAGTTTTATTTAGTAAATGGTAGAAGGAATAAGAATGACTCTTCCTAGGATGAAACTTTTATTATAGCCTTAATGACTATGTCATTGAATGATTTTAAATTGTAATGCAATTTTCTTCCTAAGAACACAAAAGGTGTCCAGGGTGATTATCTTAATATGCCCTCATTCTGTTCCTATGATGTTTCTAGGATTATAGATGAGGCAAAAAAAAAAAAATAGAATATGTTATGAGTACTACCAGATTAATTAGATAAAGAATCAAGGCCAGAACTGGGCTTTTGGTTGGATGGATCTTCCCCCTGTCTCATTCTTCCCCATTAGACTGTAAATTCTGACAAATGAGAGTAGGATTTCCGAGGCATGGAGACTCTGAATATGCTATGGTAATCAGGCAGCATGCACTAACATTTTAGAACTATACTTTGCTTCCTCTTAAACAGAGAAAAACAGAGAACATTTTCTTTTGTCACTGTAACATGTATAATGCAACATGAATAAAGCCCTACCTGATTTTCACATTTATAGGGAAACTGGCATTACTGGAGATTAGTGCCAGGAAGGAGAAATGACCCTGTTATCTCCGTAATGGCCATAGTGTGCTTCACAGGGAAACTTACATCAATAGGAGTAAGTGGTTATTTACTTGCAGAAGCTTTCTATTCAAGTTATTAATATAGTTAGGCAGAAGGAACTGGAAAGTGCATATAGGAATGTAGGAGGGTCATTTATGGGTTTCAGTGTTCATCTGCAACATCATATAAATCTGTATTTTCTTAGATACATGTGCAAGAACACACTTGGGTTTAAACCTCCATTTCTTTGTGTATGTTCTTTCTATATGGAATGACCTCTGTTTTCTCTGGTAAGGTGTCTGTCTYTAGGACCTCCATCAGTTGTACCCTCCGTGGTGAAACCTTGGTCTTTATAACTGGGTTGGTGCCTCTCTCTGTATTCTTAGAGCAGTTTGTTCTTGTTGCCAATATCAGGTTTTCATTTTTGGCTTATAATCTCTTTCCATCTTTATAACTCCTGGTTGAGTCTGTACCTCTCTGTAGTGTGAACTACCTTTTAAAATTTCAGTCCAGCATCTCACATGATGCCTACATATACTGGGTACACAGTCATCATTAATTGAATAAATGTATCTTGTACATAGTGTATATGTCATTACACACCCTGTCTCTTTCAAAACTATGTTCAATGTGGATTATTAGAAGAAAATTGGAAGAAAAAAGGAGAAGGATGAGATATAAAGTGATAAACATGAGCTAATTCATGCCATGAATATCTAAGTGAATGTGTAGTATGCACATAAATTCCTTGCATGTACAAGGAGGCATATATGTGGAAATTTTATAATGCACTTTAAAAAACTCTATACTGTCTGATTCTTTTATATTTTTTTTATTTTTCTAAGTACATACATCATTATGTATTTGGTGCTGAAGGATTTCTCTGTGGAGTGTTCATTAGTGCTGAGATTTCAATGTGATCAGCTTGTGGTAAATGGAGTGGGCTCAGTTAGTTCCACTTCTGTGAACATAAGAATTTGTAGCATGACCATACACAGTGCTCTTTAGCTCCTGAAGAACTGCTCTGATGCTAGTTGCCTGCTCTCTTTCTGAAAGCACAGAGCAGTGGGSGTGGACCTGCAGGAATGTTAATATGAAATAATAACCTTCTCTTGGAATAAATAGTGTTTAAATTAATGTAACTACAAAGTACCTCTGAATTTCAGCTTGCTCTCCAGGTGATTTGTTTGCCAAGTTTAAATAAATGAACATATTAAAATTGTGTTCTTATTTTCCTGCTGTCAGGATTAAACCGATGCAAATTTAAATAGTTGTTTTTTTTTGTTTTTTCTTAATATAAGCCTCTCCCTGAGTSTAATTCTCTGCATGACGTATTTTAAGTAGAGAGTAAAGCTTTGTTTGCTATGTTATTCCTTAATTAATTGTTAAAATACTGAGGACTTATTATTCTGGGTAATTTATTTAAGACAACAGTCACTCCCTGGCAGCTTTTTAAAGGAGATGGTCCAAGATGCTAACTAACCCATTTGTTTTGCTATGCTATCCCTGGGAGTTCTGTGTTCCAAAGATTTGCTAATCACCAGTTGGGAACTGATTTACAAGGCAGAAAATACAGGACTCTTGAGTGGTGCACTGATTCATAAGCAGGCTGGAATGTGTACTGGCTTCAAGCCTTGTCTACTGGCATGCAGATCTTGCTGCCAGCCGACTTGATGATGGAAAAATGCCTGCTTGCTACCTCTGGCCAGATGTCATCAGTGTTGTTCTTGACCCTCACATTGGTTAATTGCTAAGTAGAATATGCTACTCGAGTTGAATATGTCTCCTTGACTGTTCATTTGTCCAGCCATTGATCCATCCATCCTTTCATCCATCTATAGATCCAGTACTGGGATCAGGCTATCAGGGAATGGGTTGGAATTAATAACTGGAAACATTGTTTATAATTGGAATTAGCTGTCATTGTCTATAAAGAAACAGATAGTGAATATTTCAGGTTTATAGGTCATTTTGATTCTCTTAACTACTTAGCTTTCTGTTGTAGGTCGAGAACAGCCATAAGTAATATGAGGCATGGCTGTGATCCAATGCAGGGTTGTTTACAAAAAAAAAAAAAAAAAAAAAAAAAAGATTTGTAAACAGTAGCAAAGCAAACAAGTAGATTGCTTGTCCTTGGATTAGACAGTTGAAGTATTGAACTCAGTATAGTTTGTGTGATATATAAAAAAGTGTTTGTATATCACATAAGCTATACTGAGTCCAGTGCTTTAATAAGACACTTTAATAAAGCTTTGATAYTTAAATGTTTTCTACCATTGTTTATGATATTTACCTACAAGAAGTAATTTTATAGGTTTTGCCATTTTTCTTTTTCTTTTCCACTTAAACATTAATCATTGAAAGTCTACTCAGTTCTCTCTGGTACTGGTTATTGATATGTCATTGGATTATTGGATTGGAAATGTAAGAAAAAAGGAATAAAATTCCAAAGTATGTCACTGTAACATCATTAAATTTAGTAGTTCTGGTTRTAAAACTGTATTTTGACATGAAAACATTGCCAAGATATATTGCTAAGTAAAAAAAAAACAAAAACGTCGATTGTTAAAAAGGTTCTGAGCAATGTGATTCTATTTGTGAAAAGAATAGAATAGGCCTATGTGTATTTGTACTTGTATATTATAAATACCTGAAAGTATAACAAATCAGAGCACTTAGTTTTCAAGCAAATGAAATAAACTGTGCTCAGTTCAAATAGGGATGATTTATTGAAGCATACTGAATAGCTCACAAATCCCTGATGTGCCTCAGGTTAGCCATAGAGGCCACATATTTAGAAGCAATACAGAATAACTGGTTCTGCAAAGATGCCCCAGTAAGTGTCAGTGAGCACTTTGCTGCTGTCTGAATCACTGATGCCACTGCCTGGATGATGAATTTGCCTCCACTGTTTCTACTCTAGAGTGGATTCTGGACAGTTGCTGCTTTTTTGTGTAATCACCTTCCAATTCAGAGTCTGCTATAGGTGAATTTGATTGGCAGAACCAAAGTTTTGGACCTAGCTGCAAGGGAAACTGGGAAAGTGAATATGTGGAACTCACTTCTGTAGTGGACAAAGGGTCCTGCCTCATAAGGAGGGGGATTTACCAAATGCAGGGGAAGGATTCAGAAGTTCATTGCTAGGAAGAATGGGAACTGTGCACTGGAGACACCAGGAAATTGTTCACATTGGTTACTTCTGGGCMGAGGAGTTGAAAGGCCTGATGCGGGAGCCCAGGGAGGGCTTTTACTTTCATTTTACTTTTCTGTGCTCTTTGTATGTAATAATATAATAAAAGGACTGTGGGGAAAACAAAAACAAAAACAGTTTTTCCTTAAACTATTATATTATTCTCAGAACTTAAGAAAATTCTTCAAGCTAGGCACTTTCTTCAACTTCCTACTTTATTTCACTTTATACAAAATACATGTATGAAGATGTGAATTTGGTGTCAACATACCTTATATATAATCAGAGGTATGATAAATTATGATAAAATGGTGTATTAAGAATTGTAATGCAAAAATAAATAAATAAATAAATAAATAAATATTTGAATAAGTAAAAAGATTTACTCTTCAATTTCATCTGATTCAATCAGTTCTATATTATATGTACCTGATTGGGCAGAAAAATCATGAAATTTTTAAAACCTCTGGCATACCAGTGGTGGCTTTTGCTTTTGGGTTGGTGGAGCTCATTTTTGAGGACTATAATATTCAACTTTGAAAATTGAGTGTTGTCAATTAGTATAATTAATGAAGTGTTTATACAGGCAAGGTGTAAAAATAAAATACACTTAAAAATTTGGTTCTACTATGTGTGTTTTCCATAATTTTTTTTACCTGCCCCCATATATTTGCTGCTTGATGGAAAATTGGTGTGAAAACTTAATTTGGCTCAATAAAGTTTTAGCAAATATAGTAACAATTAAAAAAAAACCTTTTAAAAAGAACAGCTTCAGGTTTATAGAAAAAATATGAAGATAGTAGAGTACTCATCCACCTGCATACCCAATTTTCTCTATTATTTACATTTTATGCTGAAATTGCTGCAATTAATAAACCAAAGTTGACACATTATTATTGGTTAATGTCCATGCCTTATTAAGATTTCCTTAGTTCATAACTAAAGTCTTTTTTTCTGTTCCAGTATAGCTGATATATTGTATACATTTGCATTGTATACATTTAAATTGTTCTTATTAATCTGTATAGTAATGTCATGGAACCATATAATAAATGCTATTTCTATTTAAAATAATGTATGGAATTTGGAGAAAAAATAAAGTTTTGTCATAGTGAGGTTCATATACTTTTTCATGCACCAATGTCACATGAGRAAATAATAATTAACCTTTTGTTTCTCCCCCCAATGTATTTAGTGGAGCAGGTTCCTGTAGAACCATACAAYATCCCACTGTCTCAGGCTGAAGTCATACAGGAGGGGAGTGATGTYACTCTTGTTGCCTGGGGCACTCAGGTCAGTAACCTTGATTTCCAACTGTTAAAGCCCATGTTGTGCTTGGGAAGCCCTTATTTTTAATCCTGATATATGAAGAATTGAAAATTATATTTTCTTTTTTTTCAATCTGTCTTTAGTTGTTAATGAACCTTTATTTTATTCATTTATTTATATGTGGTGCTGAGAATTGAACCCAGTGCCTCACACATGCTAGGCAAGTGCTCTATCACTGAGCTACAACCCAGCCTCGAAAATTATGTTTTCTTTATATCTCAAGTCTGTTTGTTACCACTGATGCTGCTCCCTATCAATTTTATTAAGGTATAGTTGAAAGATAAAAATTATATATATTCAAGATATACAGAATGATGATTTGGTATATGACTACATTGTGAAATCATGTGACAATCAAATTAACACAATCATTACCACATGCTAGTTGTGTGTGTGTGTATGTGTGTGTGTGTGTGTTGAGACACTTAGAATTTACTCTCATTCAATTTCAAAGAAATAGTATAGTATTAGCTATAGTCATCATGCTGTACCTTCAATACTCAGAACTTACTTATATCTGAAAGTTTGTGTTACTGATTTCTGATYGGGGTGAGGTACTTATTCTGTTATATTAAAATATATAAGCATGTGGTGAAGTAATTAAAATATGTTGAATGTTTGTAAAAATGYTTTCATTAAAAATCCTTTGATGCACATTTTGCATATCCCCACCACYTATTGCTGCACTTATCTTTTTCATCCCCTTCCTGCCATCCCTCATTAATTTGCTGGCCATGTGGATCCACCCAGTGGTCTAGCCACAGAATCCTATGCCTTTCTCTTTTCCTGGGACTTCTCCATTGATCCCCCTTAGCTTTACCTAGTATTTATGGTCACATTTCTCTACCTCTAATTTTTTTTTTTTTTTTTTTTTTTTTGAGATGGGTGCCTGCTACATTGCCCAGGACAATCTTGAGCTCCTGGGCTCAAATATTTCTCCTGCCTCAGCCTCCCAAGTAGCTGGGACTATAAGTGTGTACCACTGCACCTTGTCACCTCCAAGCTCAGGGCATTTTATGTTTGGTTGTGGACTCCTATCTCTCACATTCCTCTCTCTTCTTTTAAAGAAATCATCAGATTTTCTGTGCTAAGGAAAAGCTATTTAAGAAAATTTAAGACAGCATCATGTAAACACAATAACAAAAGTCATTTGCAGTGTCAGAAGCTCCTCTCTCCACCTGATTTTGGCTTTGAGCTGCAGTCCTTGTGGCTTATTTGCAGTGAGGTAACTGCTACCTGGGGAGTCACACTCATTGATGGTGCTCATGGTGGTTGTGCTGAACCTTTTTTTGTCCTCCCTCAGATGACTTTTTAATTCCCATTCCCCGATGGTGACCTTGTTTCTCTTTTAATGGGGTGTGTTTGGTACTACCTCCCATAGCTTACTCTCCCTTACACCCACCACTTTTGTGCTAATCTTTCCCTTCTTCCTTTAGTCTTTGAAGAGGAAGCGTCTGGTTTATTTATTTATTTTGTAGCTAGCACTACAAATCTGTTTCAGATTTGTTCCATTCTGTTCCATTTACTATCTCCGGGATTGGACCTGTTAGCTAGTCCCTCTCTCCTGCATGCTCAGTGCCTCCTTTCCATGTTGCTTTTATTAAAAGGGCACATCTCTTCACTCTTTGAACAATGATTTCCCCCTTAAATGCTATCATATCTTTCTGCTCACTTTTTTTTTTAGCGTATTAAAACATGCTGCTAAGCATATTTTATTAAATTCTTCAATCTGTATTCTGGAAATCATTAATATATTCCATCTACAGCTTTTTCTTTGCAAATATAGAGTGGAAAGACCAAGATTTTGCGACAAGTTAACAATTTTTTTATGGTCGTAAGGTGTTATTGCTAAACTGAACTACTGTTTTCTACTTACATTTAAGTTAATTCTTTAGCTTCCCATATGTCTTTGTACTTAGGAGTTATGTTAMCACTAATGAACTAAAACTGTTTTTTTGTAATTTTCTAATCTACATTTTAAACCAGCCCTTTTCCCATTCTTAGGTATAGACATTAGCTAATTTCTCTATGAAACCTGTTTGTTTTTAGCTTCTGGGGTACAGTGACTCCTATTACCCCTTTCCCTATCTCTTTAATATTTTGTTTTTGTTTTGTTTTTAGTGAACCCTTGTTCTGCTATTTCCCTTAAATGCTGGTGACCTACAGGGTTCCATGATTTTTGCTTTTTACTTCTCTCTTTACATGCTTTTCCTACAAGTTCTATTTCTGTGCTTTACTTACCTTCTGTGTGCTACCTTTGGAATCCATATCTCTGACATTGGCTTCTTTCCTTTTCACTAAGAAGGCCTTTACAGCTGTTTTCTAGACGCCTATATTTGATTATTTTGGTGAAATAYGGAAGTCAATATGTCTAAGACAAATTTATGAATTCTCTGTGCAGAACAGTTTCTCTGACTGTAAACAGTAGCTCTCTGATTTTTAGGTTTGAATCTTTGAATTTAGTCATTCTCTGCATACTTTTCTCCTTCTTCTAGGTTCATGTGATCCGGGAGGTGGCTTCCATGGCACAAGAAAAACTTGGGGTGTCATGTGAGGTCATTGACCTGAAGACTATAATACCTTGGGATGTGGATACAGTTTGCAAGGTATAAATATAATGTTGATAGAACATCATTTCTTCAAGACATTGTGTCATACTTATTGGATATTTGCAAAGAATTGTTTTGTGGTGGTGAGCTGCATGAGCATTTTCACCTGATTTAAAATTTTTAAATTTGTAGTGTGAAAGGAATGAATGCTGTGTCATCAGCTTAATGCCCAAGGAATCAAATTAGAGTTGTTTTTTTTTTTCCCTCTGACAGTTTTCTCTTTAAAATATTACAAAACTGAGCCTTTCATGTAGTCAGCTTGGGGTGAGTCATGTGAGCTATGAGGTGTTGCAAATAAGGAACTTTATCGTGGGAGTTGAAATCACCTGTTTTTTTTTTTTTAACTTCTTATTGGTTATGGCTCAATACGTTCAATAAGCAARGTTTAATTTAGCCAGGTAAATGGTTTTGCTGAATTTTCATGCATCTTCTCTCCAGAATTGATGGGGATGGATTATTTTTTTAAAAACTTGCTCTCTTTATATCGCCTTAACATTGTGGATCACAGGGTGTTGTGTTGTAGGATTCTGGTTGCTCTGACTTAGAGCTTCTCTTTATSTTTGGCCTGAAGAGAATGATCTTGTTCTTACTATTAATGGGATTTACATAGTCCTCTCTCAAGAATATCATTTAGTTCTCATATACTTGTATATAACAGTTATCTTCTAATGTCGAGATAATTAAAAGTGTATCTGTCCTCATATTGGCATATAATAAAATTTAAGCTCTGTGATGGTTTCATCTTTTTAAGTCTAGGTAACAATCACTTTTTTTTTTTTTAATTTCCTAATGGAGCAGGATCCTAAGATCTATAGTATTTGTGATTTATTRTATATACTGTTTTTAGAGCTTTAGCAAGCTCAAAGCTATTGCATGCTATTTCTTATGCTATATGAAAATAAACTGTGGACACTACTTCTACAGATGTTTTTAGGTGAAGATTGTTTATAATTTAGTGGAAGATTAAAGACTTGTTACAGTAAATGTTTTTGTAGATTCACTGGCATCAGCAGAACACTTGACAGGATTACAAATGATTTTGATTTCAATAATCCTAAGCCCTCATGAGTGTAGTTGCAGTATTTCAGGTTGAATTATTCATAGCTGCATGAAAATAATTTAATGCTTTTTTTAAGGCATTTTTAGATCAAGTCAGACCCTGGGTGTTTTCTTAAATAGCCAAATGCTCCAAATTCTGGTTAAATTGGAGCTTGCCTCTTGTTTTTAACACATTTGAGTTTGTGTTTTCAGGGTGGRTGGTACTTCTGTATGGGGATATGATGTTTTGTCCTGGAGTGGTGAGGTATTCATATGTGATCAGGGCAAGCCTTTTTTTTAATATACATATTTTTATACCTTCTACATTTAAAATGGATTTGTAGTATCTTACAGTAAAATACATAACATCACCCCAACTTGGTAACCATGAAAGTAAAGAGAGGAGAGAGAGAGGAAAAAAGAACATGGTAATTATTTATGTTTGTTTCCATTTGSTTTTTCCTTCCTGTATTAAATTTACTGGTTGCATTTTTTATGGTCCTAGAATGTCAACCCAGTGTCCTTAGGGCTCTGTCCTACTAGGAAAGATGAAAGAGGAGGCTGGAGTCCTCTACTGCATGAGACAGTGATGCATTAAACCTTGGACCTGTCAGTCTCATTTTCTTAGTCTTCTATTGGGATCCTTTCATCATGTTATTTTCCTGCTTGATGACCCTCCAGTTCTGACAGTGAAAGCCAGCCTGTCATTTSTTGATTACTTGGGTCTATTTGGGACTCTTTTTATTGCTGATTGTGGTACATCTCCTGTTTTTCTTTCATGTATCAAAAGAGAAAAATTTTGGTAGTAAGCTTTTTTCCTTAGGATTTGAAAGAGGGCCCTATAGCCAAACATTCGTATTAAAAATGATAGCTTTTTTAGTTTAACTAAAGTTAGGCTTCTCTTCTTCATCTTTATGAATTYTATAATAATCAAAATTTGTTTTTATGGTTCTCAGTGATATCAGTTTTTCTAGTAGGATAAAATTCAGCTCTATTCGATGTATGTTAAACTTGATACCACTGTACATCTTTTGGAATGCCTAATCAAAAAAAGCCTACTAAAGGTAAAAATGATGTGTTGAACACATTCAGTATTATGCAGTATTCCATAAAGTGACTCTAGGACAGTTGAAAAGTTCATACTTTTTGCTTAGTCTTGGTGTGTTTGTTGTTTAGAAGATATGTATATGAAAACATTGTTTAAGAACAGACAAAGCAGCAGAGATTTTGAATGTTGTCCAGGGAAGTTACAAAACAGGAATTATATAAAATAAACTTTGTAGAACCTATATATATATATAGTGTATATATATATACACTTGTATATATATATACTCTTGTATATATATATATACACACTTGTATATATATATGTATATATATATATACACTTGTATATATATATACTCAAGTGTATATATATATACACTTGATGATAAGAAGTCAGCTGTCCCAGTTATTCTTGGGTTATTAGTGAAGTGTAAATTTTTATTAGGTTATAATCAAACGTATGTTACAATTCCTGTTGTGGCAATGGATGTGACAGTGAAAGAGTATGTAACAAACTAGTAAGACTATAAATTAGGCTAGTCCAAAAGAAGGAAAGGAGATTTGTACAAAAAACAGGTGGGTAAATAGAAAACTGCTTGTAAGATGAAAGATATAAACCTCCAAATAGAAGTAATTAAATAAATACAAACGAATTAAATAATCATAACAATTTTGTAAATGAGTTATAGGTTAAATGGACAAATTCCTGGGAAAATTAGAATCATTTAAAGTTGGTAAAAGAGCTATTAGAAAATCTGAATTGTCATTATCTGTTTAAGACATTAAATCCATTTTCAGTAACCTGCACGAAAAGAAAACCCTAGACTTATGACTTTACTGGTAAACTCTATAAAACACAATCTTTATGCAAACTCTTATTGACAGTGGAACCAGAGGGGCAACTTTTTTTTTTGTACCTGGGATGTAACCTAGAGGTGCTTAACCACTGAGCCACATCAGTGGCTTTTTATTTTATTTTTTATTTTAAGAGAGAATATTGCTAAGTTACTTAGGGCCTCACTAAGTTTTGCTAAGGCTGGCCTTGAACTTGCAATCCTCCTGGCTCAGTTTCCCAAGTCACTGGATTGCAGGCATGTGTCACTGTGCCTGGCTAAAGAGGAAGCTTTCAAGTTCTTTTTGTAAGGCCAGCATAATCTTCATATCAAACCTATAGTACCCTATAATAAAATAAAATTATAGATAAACTTTTCTTATGAACATAAGTAATGTTCACATTCACAAACAAGTTTATGAAATTTCTCAAGTTAAAAGAAAACAAGATAAATAAAAATCTTGCAATATATAAACAGCAGTTATTAAAATTCCATATCTACTCATGATTACAATTTTTTGGCAACTATGAAATGGAAGTGAATTCTTTTATTCTGATGAAGAGTAGTCACAAAATGCCTGTAGCAAAAATAATATTTTCTAGTAAAAATTGTGCAGTTTTCTCCTTGAGGTCAGGACTCTCTAGGGGAAAATATAGTGATACACATGTCAGAACTTTCCACAGAAAATTCCAAAATATTATTCAGGAAAATCAAAGATGCAAATAAACTGAATTCAATTTAGTTTGAGTACCCCTTATCCAAATGTTTGGGACCAGAAGTGTTTCAGGTTTTAGTTTTTAGATTTGGGAAATTTGCATGGATGTTGCCAGTTGAGCTTCTCTAATTCAAACATTTAAAATCTGAACTGCTGTGAAATCCMAAACTTTCTGAGCTTCACATAGGGCTCAAAAAAGTTTCATATTTCAGAACATTTCGGTTTTGAGGTTTTTGGATCAAGATGTTCAACCTTGTACCCTGTTAACGGATTGTCAGGCCAAGAATAGCCATGACAACCTTAAAGAAAAAGATTGGAGGTCTTAGTTACCAAATGTCAAGATGTGTCATGGCTGCAGTTATGACAGTGCTGAATTGGTATAAAGGTACACAGATAGAATCCAGAAAGAGATCTGCTGGATTGAGGACAAAGGTGACATCGCAGTTCACAGTGGAACAGCTTGTTTTGTTCAGTAAATGATGTTCATTAATTAATGATGATTTCATGAAAATTAACCCTTACCACACCACCTTCAATTYCAGATGAATTGAAGATCTAATTGTAAAAGAAAGAATGATGAAGTCTTTGGGAAAAAGCATAGATAAATTTATTTATTTATCTATKTATTTATTTTTGGTATTTAGAGTTGAATGCAGGGGCACTTTACCACTAAGCTACATTTTCAGCCCCTTTTATTTTTTATTTTGAGACAGGGTCTCACTAAATTGCCTAGGCTGGCCTCAAACTAGTCTCCTGAGTAGCAGGATTGACAGGAATGTGCCATTGCACCTGGTGTGAATGTCTTTATGATTTTGTGCACTAACAAAACCCTAGCATTAAAAAAAGCTGCTGATTTCATTAAAATTAAAAAAAAATATTATCAAAAGGACATTAGTAAGAGACTAGACAATCCTGAAATGTGGAGAAACTCAAGGAAATTTAGATCATGAAACATTAAGTACTTTGACTTAAAAAATAGTTAAAAAAGCAAAAATAAATAAATAAATAAGTAAACAAACATAAGCAGACATCCCAAGAGAAATATGGCCAAAGCTCTTGAGAAAGAGTTTCAGAAAGTAGCTGTCCAAATGGCCAATAAGCATATGAAAAGTTGGTCAATTTTTCTTATCATCAGGAAATGAAAATTAAAGTCCTAATGTAATAGGATCAGAGACCTTTGTTAAATATTAAAATACTAATTTTGGCAAGACTGTGAAGCAACCCATCTCTCGTATATTATTGATGGTACTATAAATTGGTACAACCAATTTGAAAAGTTGTGAGTATCCATCTAAACCCTGTAAACCAGCAATTCTACATATCCCTTCATATGCAATCAATCAATCAATCAATGATTTATA